TGCTAAGGCTATTCAGGGGCTTCTCTGCATTCGCATAGTTGTTTGGGAGCGGAATGTTCTGATGTTTAAATGGGAGGGGCATCTCGTAATGCCTGTCTTCTACATAGACAACACCATTTTCCGTTGTTTGGTAGAGCTTGATATCATCCCGTGACAATGCCGTCCCTTTTTCTTTCTTGGAGAAGTCCAATTCAAACATTCGCTGGACTGCCTGTGGTGTGATCTGTTCCTTAACCATTCTTGGTGGGACCACATATTCACGGGCTGATGAGGAGCCTTCTTGTTGATCAACATGTATTCTGTTGCACGCAATGCTTTGAGAAGAGAAGATGGGGCCATTTATGTACCATCGAAGGAGCGAGCATACTGCGTATGGATCTGACGCCTCACCGTAAACAATTTCTTTAGGTCGTAAGGCACTTGGAAGATTTAATACAATTAGAATGACAAGCCCCACTTCGATGTCTTCCGTGTAGGGGGGTATTCGGGACTAACTTTTCTTAAATGAGACATCTTACTAATCACATCAGGCCATAGTATTTCGTTGGGGTCCACTGGAATGGTAGGGCGTGTGAATGCTCTGGGTAAGTCTAACATAACATCTTCCTAGCTAGCTACCACTAATCCTTCGATAGCCTTTATTCTCACGCTACTTGTTCCGTGGATCGTTGTAAGAATTAGGTCAGTGTTACTCCCTACAACACCGAGTAACTTTTCTGATTTCTCATTGACGAATGTTCCGCTACTGGCATTGTCTAGCACGGCATAAACTTTTATCCTCTTGGCTGGGTTCTCCTAGTGAACTAACCAGACAGGCAATATCCCCATGTTGATTGGGACGTCTCCAGGTTCTATCATGTTGCAGGTGGCAGTGTGACTTGTACTAACTCAAGGTTTGTCTCCAGATTGATTATTGTCACTCACGTCGTTCGATCTCTTTTTTCAATCGTTGGGTGGTGCTAACTGCAAGTTTTACATTTCAGCCTTTCCTTGCAGTGCGTTGCAATGCGCTGGTCACTAAAATAACCAAAGTATACCTTCTTCTCCAAACCAACGTTTCGCCGGTCACTCAAAGATTTCTTAAAAAAGTGTTCGCACTCATTCAGATTGTGTAGTTTCTTGCATAAATACCACGTTTCTGTCCGTTGGTATCCACTTTCTCGATGTACGTTTGTGACTTGGCTTGTTCCTCTTCCTCTCTTAAATGGCTTTTTTATGAACTTAACGTGAGTGGGCTTGTCTCGCTCTTCGCGATTTTACTTGTTAACCCTTTCTTCCGAGAAAACAGGATCTATGGCAAGTTCGGCTTGTTCTCGCACAAATTGTGAAAACTTCTTCAAGTCAGCGATTCTTCCTTTGACACTCATGGTCCCACTATTGTTTTCGGTCCATTCACTTCTCAAATTTCGAGGTAACTTTTCCAACTATTGTCTTAGTACGTGAGCAGTGTTTAAATCACCCATATGTGATCTGCCTTTCATCATGGACTTTACTTGATCAAGGGTGATAGAGAAATCTTGGAGAGCTGAGCCATTGTTCGGTGTGATTGATGTCCAGGAAGACAGCTTCTTGATATGGACGTTAGCTATCTTAAATGGATCGCCGAATTTTCTCTTTAACAGCCCCTTAGCTTCTTCTTAGCATCCTTCTGATTTAGACAGCTATGAATAACTTCTTTAACTTTATCCGAGATGTACTGGCCAAGAAAATACAAACTTTCACAGGAGTCGTCAACCTTTGCTTCGATCAATGTTTCAAAGGCTGTCATGAATGAGGGAAATTCCATGACGTCGCCATAAAACATAGGTGGCTTGATGGTAAAAGACTTCGCTTGCTGGGTATCTATAGTTTGAGACAATTCCGTTTGCTTTTTTGGAATGTCAAAAATAACCTGAAACGTAGTGTCCTTGAGTTGGTTATGAGTTAGATGACAAGTACGTTGAGTAGCCTTAAAAGCCATATAAATACTGTGGTGTTTGTGTAATCCCCATCGGTTGATCTCCAGCGGAATATATGACCGCAGGCTGGGTTTGATATGATCTGTACCTAAAGGCTGTCCGTGGGGGTGTGTAATATTTCCCAAAGTTGCAATGCCTCTAGAGGTTTCAATGAAGTACGCTTCATCTGCTGATTTACATGCCATAATCGGCGTCTCGTACAGGGGTCCTTTCTGTTTTACTATATATGTTGCGAGGGGATTTGCTTGAGGGGGACCTTGTGGCCTTGATACATACATGAGAGTAGAGCTTACATGGAGTGACATTGGAGCAGGTACTGAACTTGAGAAGCTAACTGATGATATAACACGAAATAATTCCGTATCGATTGAAGACGAACGTGAATGCAACACTTCAAAACTGACCTCTTCAAAACAAACCGAAGATTTCCTGTTGACTTTTTCCATATCCGTAGTCAACCTTTGCAACCATAAATCCATCGGAAACCCGCAGAAAAATTGAGTGAACCACAGTTATCCGTGCAGGTTAAACCATAATCCGTAGAAAAACTTCCGTGAGGCCGAGTTGAAACTGTTGCCGCGAACAGTGACCAACCGTATAAAATAGGGACCTTAAGCAACCACGACGGCGACGGTAACGAGGACGTGGAAAAACAAGAGATCTAATTGGCAGAACAATAGCTCGGCACGTGCGTTTTGAAAATTTGTACGTTTCTTAGCCGTCCAATGCAAAACAACAACGTGAAATCGCAAAATTTACGTCGTCTGCGAACCAAAACCGCGACGGCAAATTATTTTAATTTTCATTTAGAACTCAACGCTACTTTTATACGTCCTACTGAAGTTGAGCTGTGGCGCCATATGAGACAGTAAGGTCCTGCAGCCATGTTTGAAATTCTAACTAAGAGTAGAAATTCATTTTTTAATCGGAGTCTTCCTTGGCGTTGCCGTCCTGACTGCTTAAGGTCCCTAATGAAACCTTCACGAAGGCTTTGAGAAAACTCACCCTAAACGTTACAATCCTTAACGCAACTTTAAGACCGTAAAATCGTGACACTGAACGATATATAGAGAGAAATAGAGAGAGGTTTTGATTCGGTAGCCTCGTGGCACTGTTCAAAGAGGCCGCTACCGCGCATGCACGAAAACTTAAAAGTCCCGTACAGCAACCCAGGCGACGGCCGTGCGTCGATCAGCCGCGACAGGCATTGCAGACCATCAAGTTCATGGTTTAAATCTTCATTTGAAAGTTCACGGTATTAGAGGCCTTTTTTTCATACTGCTCGATAAGCAGAATCATAAACAAAGAGAAAATGTTTCCACTTATTTCTTGATGAAGTGATTGTTCACTCAGTTGTTACTTGATATCTATTTTCAGCAGTGCAATGGCTGGGTATTGAATATGTATAAATATTTTGAAGCAGGTGAGTTTGTTCCATGATGACTGTATGAGGAGCAATTTATCCTTGATAAAAAGAAAGGTCTTCAAGATTCTTTGATTTTTGTTGCTGCTGAGCAACTACAATGTATTTAATTTTATAATTTTGGAGGGTCTATCTAGTTCAATGTCTTTAGAAATGAAAAATGGCTACCAACCTTTTGGGATTGGCTACCTTTTTAGAATATTTAGGAGCGAAGTGGCATTAAAAAACGCTAATTTTACGCCCTACATCGATTTTCTAAAATTTTTTTGGAAAAATATTACTTGTCTCCTTCCAACTAATGTTATGAAGATATCTATCACATGTTACCAGTTCGAAAATACATCATATATATTGAAGAAAGCTTGCTTTTTTTGACCAAATTCATCCCTCGCTTTCACCTCGCGAAATGACCTCCGCCATGTTCCTTTCCATTCTTCTTGTGACCAAACGAAGAGGCCCAGTATTCATTGAAAAACGTAACGGTTAACCACATGGCGTCTACACGTGGAAAACCTATCCGTAGACCCCAGTAGGGGCCTTTGCGGCCCGCACACCCTCAGCACGAAGGGAAGGTAACAAAGTTACCAGCTATTTCTTATTTTTTACCTCCTATCCAAAAAATTTAGCAAGAACCCTGTACTATATGTTTATCGTTACGTCGAATAGTCCTCCATGAAAGCTGATCAATTTTTTTTAAAAGATGACCGCCAGAAGCGATAATTTTCTTCCGGATATTGCTCATAACATAACACTCTTTCAAAGCCATGCATATTCCGTTTGTCGTAAAATTTTGCTGTTAAGAACATTTGATGCAAACATCACCAAAATGTGCGATATATGATTTTTGAGCTTACGTATTAAAAACTACAGTACTATAGCCAACGAGGTGCATAGTGTCAGTTCCAGAATTGGTGTACTTTTGGAGAAATTCAGATAAGCCCTCCTCCTATCTCACCCTAACATAGAAAATGACCGAAACTGTACCGAGATAAAATAATTGATTAGTGTGTTCACATTCACTCTCCGGGAAAATTGAATGCATCAAAGTAAAGACAAATAATGTCACCATGTATGGTAGGAGTACAAATTTGATACAGAGATGAACATTTCATACTTTCTTGGCGAAGTTTTTGTATGAAAATGAGTTCCCCTGGCCGCGAACAAGCCGCCGTTATTACCACGGAAAAAAGAATGCGGCAATATTTAAAAGGGCATTTTTGTGCATCCCCTCTGGATGCCTAACTGTGTGCAATATTTGAAGAATTTCTCAAGATCTTTGAATCTTACAGAGACTAGTTCTTAAGGTTTTTAGAAGTTTTAGAACTTCCTCAAATGATTGCCAGCCATTAAGTCGCCAAATGTCTCATCCTATTCCTTACTCTAAAGACAGGTGGTGGGAGGTCAACTTTACCTCCCGTAATATTGTGCAAAGTGCGTTTTCCGTCTTTGGTTGGTCTTGATCTGTTTTTGTCCTGTTCTTCTCTTTTCAACTTTTCATTTAGGTGACAAATTTTGGATTTCAAGATGCGAAATACCTCTCTCAAGAACATCAGCTTGGAGCAAAGTAGCATAATTCTAAATTTAGATCTCATAAACAAAACATCTTTACGTTTTATTACCTTCATGCCTGTTTACTCTGGAGCAGCAAGCAGAATACTAGGTATCATTCATCCTGGTAATGAAAAAACGAACACGTTATTTCAGATGCAGACCAGCAATCCACATGGGTTTTTTTTATATGGTTAAAATTTGCAAAGTTCCTAGTACCATGCCACATGGGCGAAGTACTACTATTTGTGTTTAAATTAACAAACTGGGTGGAGGGCCTCGCACTTCTTTTCAAATCCATTAAATCTCAAATGGCCAAAATATGATCCTCATCGTGCGCCAACTTCTCTATCTATAGCAGGTCATTTTGTGTTCCTGAAAAGTGGTACGTAATGGGAGCTCGGTCGATTTGACGCAAAAGACCTGAACTTTGTTTCAACCACAACTGTTCACAAAAGAATTAATTCATTCTAAGCCACCTCTCCAGTGAAGATTCTGGCTGAAACAATTGTTTTAAACTCACTGGTAGACATAACGCTTTTGAAATCTTAGCCTCTTTAAATTGTCATTATTGATATGGGAAAGACGTTCTTAAAGCTGAGTTTTTCTTTTAATGATAAAAATTCAAAGAACATTTTACTTCCAGTTCTTTCTTTACAATAGGTCATTTTACGACTATAACATAAAATGGAAGCTCGGTCATACTTTATTCCGGAGAACTGAAAATATTTTCTTAACACAGCTCTGCACTAAAGAATAAACTCATTCGTAGTCGCGTTTCTTGTGAAGATAATGGCTGTCTCAGGCAACTGTGTCTTAAAATAGGTAGTATACACCACACGTTTAAACCTCTCAGGTTTGAACTCGTCGTTTTTCATCTACTAACATGGTGAACTCGCTAGTGTGAAGACCAAAACTTTCTAAACATTATCATTGTGAAAAGGGAAAGTATCCTTAAAGTTTTTAATTTTTTTTTTGTATTTAAAAAAAAATTAAAATTCAAAGAAAATTTTACGAGCGAAAACAGGCCGCATCGATACTCGCACCGTGCATTTATGATAATAAAAAAATAATATGGAAGTGTGCATTTACCTTTTAAAGTTGAGTTTCTTCTTCAACAATGGAGTAATTTTCCCCCGAACTTAACGCGTGAGAAGCGCACAGGAAGTTTAAAGTACAAGCATTATTTTGGCATACGGTTAAAACATATACGTATAAAGTGTTGAACAACCAATTATCGCGGCTTTTGAAACAAAAGAGCAGAGGTTTTCAAACATAACAAGTTTCGCCTTTAATTAGAATAAGCACAGACCAGCTGAAACCAGATGAGCACAGAATTGACTTTATCCGCGCGAAGAGTCCATTTATCATCAATCATTTTTAAACTTTGTCCGAACCTATAAGTCTATTTTAACTCATTAAAGCAGAGCTCACAAAGCCAGCGTAGCCTCATACTCATACAATTTAACAGTTGGCTCATGCTTTAGCGCGCACTATCGAGTAATGGAGCACGCGGGAAGTTTGGAGAGCACGAAAGAAGCGTAAGAGTTGCCCGAGGCGATAGCCGAGGGCAACTCAAGCTTCTTGAGTGCTCTCCAAACTTCCCGCGTGCTCCATAACTCGATAGTGCACAGCTGAAAGCATGAACCAATTGTTTTAGAACAAAGCCGGTGGAATTTTGCATCAAATCTGATACGAAAAACGGACAACAATATCAGGATTGATTGTTCGCGGTAAGCGAAATATGAAGCAAAATAGGAAATAGTTTTTATTTCAAGTTTTCTGTTTAAGGCTCGAGCTTTATTTTACTGCAGTTTAAATACTTAATTCTTTATTTTTAAAAAAGAAGTCAAGCTCAAGAATGGAACTTTTATTTAACAATTATTTCCTGATTAAATATAAAATTCTCCTAACGACAGACAAGAAACTCTGCGGTTTAATTGGTTAATTTACAACACGCCAGATTTTCTGTTTCTCTGAGAAAACGAACACTTCGCGAAAGAGAAGAGTTAGCATAAGTCAAAATGCTGCAAAAATTATATCGATTACCGAAAATAGACCATTGCAAAACGGTCTGAGTTAACACTGAGAACAGTATAACAGTAAATGTCAACAAGTGTGGCTAAAATTTGATCCAAGAGTGATGTGGACATTTTGAACGGTGCAGTTGTTAAAGAAAGATCCGAAGCCGCTTGTGGTTTTCTCAGTTGCAGTGGACACAACGAGGCCGTTTTCCTGCACTTCTTTCTGTATGTTTATGGCGGTGACAGTGGCAAGAGATTCGGATCTGTCAGAGGTCAAGCTTTTCGAAAGGACTTCGCTGCAGGTGCGGAGCTGTGATGTCGAGGGCTGCGTGTTGTAATGTAAAAGACTCTGTTCGCTACGGTGACCAGATTGCCATTATGTGGCGGTTCTCTACACCAGGATTCGACCATAAGGTGATTGCGGTGGCTCTGACGCTGTGGTTGGTGTACATTATGGAGAGTTTTGCTTCCTCACTGATGCTTTTCATCATCCCGTCGAGTTTGTTGCCACCAATTGGTCGGGCGTCGAACCAAACTTTATCGTCATAATTCCACTTAGAATTCTTTCTCGGATACTGAAAGAAAGCATCGCACCGAGGATTGAGTTTGGCCATGTAAAACTTTAAAGCTTTGTATACGTGGTTCTCTTCATGTGTTTCATACATTCTTGCCAATTTCTCGTTGCTGGATACATCAGTGACTCCTCCGGGATGTTTTTTGTCGCTTCATCATGCGACATTGTGACAAATCTTCTTCCCDACGCATCAACTTCAAACTTGAAGCTCGTTTTCTTCAGCTGCCTCTGACCTTCTCTTCCTCTCCGTCAAAAGAATAAAATAACGTGAAACCATACATTGCGGAGGAGGGCGAGTGGATTACTCGGTGCAATGGCTAGCGAGGCTCTCAACTTCATCAAGTCTTCGCTCTATGGCTGGCTTGTGGGTGACATTTTCCTTGCCCTGGCGCTTCAAACGGACTATCTGAGCGTTTAACATTTCATTTGATCGTTGAAATTGAGGATCTGAACTCAGTTTGAGCCCTCTGCTTAGGGGAGGTGCATTCAGGTATCTCTCAAAAGAGTGCCTGAAACCAAGGAGACAGTATTTGCTGTAGGATTCCCCGGACTTGTTCCTCGCTTCGCCATAGAACCTGCGCAGGTTTCTGTCCATTTGTCCTACCGTCATGTTTTCCATTGAAGTTTGTATTTGTTTCTCGTTACACCAAGCTAAAATAAAAACAAGTTTTCTTTGAGTTAAAAGAGAAACCATTTAAAAGTTACTTTCGTGAAGGAAAACCAGACAGAAAGACTGTTATTGCTACATTTGTAATTTGATGTAATTAAATGTGTTAATCCTTTTGCAAACAATTTTTCCGGGAGTTTTACTATTCCCGAGAACAACTGTAAATATATATTTAACAATTTTAAAACGGAAAAATTTAAGCTTACCTTTCAAGGTTGAAACAGACCAGTTTGTCATTTGTCTGGTATTACCAGAGTGTCATTCTGTCAAAATTTGTTGCATTTCACCCTCGAACAGAGAAGCGAATCGTGACGGCGCTGATGCCGAGTCTCCTTTTCCGTTGTTTTTCTTTTTTTATGCCACATTTAAGAACTCTAAGCCAAGGGAAAAGGTCGGAAAATTTTCTCTGTTTGTATACGTTATTGTCACAAAATATATTATTTTTCCCCGCGCTAACAATGGCCGCTCCCGCGAGGAAAAACATTTTCTGGCGAAGCGATTTCCTCACGCTATCAGCGTGCACTATCGGGATTTTGAGCACGCTTACGTATAATGAATTGGATTGTGCGGCTCTGCTAGCTATGTTCTAATTGCTACTAACTCGTAGAGCCGAGAAAATTTGGTTTCAATTGACCCTAAAGCATGAACTAATGGAACATAATTTAACGTCATTTAAATAATGTTTAAAGATTGTCCCTAAATATCTCTTTATTCATCCGCTTTGACTAAAAACAATTATCGGTAGGTTTATCTCGTTTTTCGCTCTTCTCTTGAAAAGGGGAACATTCACAAAATATCAAGTCTTGGTGAATAACTGCAAGAAAAAAAACAGTTGGATTTTCCTATAATACAATACATTGTGCACAAATTTCTCACGGCGGCGCGCGTATTATCTCAAAATAAGAGCCTTTTTTTACTATTCATTCATTTGTCTGCTGTCCATCGGTCACAATCCACAAAGTTGTGTCGTTGTTTTCTTGTGGTAAGGGAGTGTTTTTGTGTAGGGTAGTAATGAAGTTTTTCTTTTGGGCCTTGTATTGAACTGCATTAAAATTTAATACATAAATTTTATAAGCATTATATTATAGATATAATAGTGCTCTTCAATTGCTTTTGGCTAAGATTCGTTTCCAGTAGCCTCATCATGTGGCGCCACATGTGACTGACTTTGTAAACTTTAGGAACGTCGGTAGCTTAGCAACGATCTACGGTGGTTCCAAGTCTCCTTCGTCACGTGCTTGATCCCATCTTTACAATGTATACGAATGTCGTTATTTCACAAAAAAAGTAGAAACAAAATGACCCTTCAAAGGAATGACGTCATATGGGTGACATAATTACTAGTAACCCAGTGTTATTTATCATAGACCACTAATTCAAAATAGTCGGCAGAGTAAAAGCAAAACAAATCAAAGCTTCCGTGATCAAATAGATGTCGCATCAATACAATTTTCAACCGTTTTAATTTTCACTGATTCACATACTGATCAAATCAGTCAGAGAAAAACAATACATCGCACAATCTTTTAATCAACCCCACTGCCGACCGCTGACTCAAACTACTCAGCTAACTAAAACAAACAAACAAACAAAAAAAAACAATTAAATCTCCCTTAATCAAAACTATATGGCATCAATCAGATTTTGAAATGTTCTTACTTTCACAGATTCGCATGCTGATCAAATCAGTCAGAGAAAAACTGTACAAAAACTAACAATCTTTTGGATTAACCACAATGGCGAGGGTTAATATTCTATACCATAACTATGCATAAGATGGTAACGTGTGATACAGTGGTGTAAAGTGCTAATGAACAAGGAGGCGAAGAAAGTTGACCGTATAGAGGGTGAAGGTGTAGGTGGAATGCTCTTGCTAAGTACAAACGTGTAAATGACAGAGTAATCGAAATATAAACACCTACGTGAAATGAAATGTCGTCCAGATGAAACTATTATAGAACTTTTTATTGTACAGCATGGAGCTCACCTAAGTAGATCATGGGACTTTTCCTCAGAAAAAGTACTTGGAGCGATATGAATGATTTTTCAGGCTTTTAGCCTTTGGAAAATAAAAAGTTCTGTTTGGTAAGGTTTTATTGAGTTTCCAAATGATACAGGACAACAATGCTTTGGTCTCATAGCCACAGCCGAAATTACTCATCAATAACAAACACCAATGTATTCAGAGGCTTTGCCTTTTATATATATATTTTTCGTCATTAACTACCGTTTGCAAAGACGATCTGTTCAGGTATTCTGCTGATCGCAAGTACCCCATGGTGGTGAGCCCTATTTGGACATTGCCTCTACTTAGTGAATTCCAGGGAGCTCTTTTATATAAAAATTAAAAAAGAAAAAAAAATTATCAAGTTAACTTTGTCTGTGTGACTCAATAAAAGCTCCCCGTTCTTTTCCTCTGGCACTCTCATAACAGATTCACACGCTACTTCCTATAAGTAATTCTCCAGCTAACAGGTGATGGAGAAGTTTTCAGTTGTAATTAAAAAGTAATCACTACGACCTATTGAGACAAAGGTTATCATTGTCATCAACCAATGATAAGTAAAAACAGGCTACCTTCTTGAAGCGCGGGAAAACGCGAGTGAACACGTTGGGATTGGTTTCATTTTTCCATTTGATTGGTTGAGATGGTGTCGCATATTTTTTAGAAACCAATCAAAGAGCGAAGTAAACCAAAACTCAATGGAATCCAGGATCATTTTAGGGCAATCAAATTCCGCGTCACGAAAATTGTCTTATTTTTTTTACTGCGCATAAAACGCTGGGCAGTCGCCTCCTATAATTTGCTTTCGCGCTATAAATCGCCTCCTAGCAGACAACTCAACTGAAATCCTATCGTGACAATGTAACGTTGAGGCGCTTTGAAAAAACTAGACAAAATTTATAAACATTTGACAATAAAAAACTGCGATAAAATATTATAAAGCATGACACGACGTTTCGACGTTTCCAGAACGTCATTATCAAGTAAACTAAAATAATAAAATCGAGTATATATATAATGAAGCGGTGAATAAATTACAAAACGTTAAAAGTTAAACAAAGAGTTTAGCCCTAATGGAGTCGCTCTGGGTGTTTAAATTGGGCCTTATTGTTCTTATGTACAACATTTCATAAACAAGACAATCCCATTTCGTGCCGCATTTTTTAAGCATTCTAAACTGGCTCTCATTGAGTAAGTCAATGTTCCCATGGGCATCTCTCAGGTGGCGACCAATGGCAGAGTATCGATGATCAGCAATGCGTTGAAACAGATGGCGCGTCGTATATCCGACGTAATTTGAATCACACAAATCACATTTAAAACAGTAAACAACACTATGCTGATTTAAGATGCGTGGCTTGATTTCTTTAAGCTTTAGGTCCTGCTCAAGTTTCTTACTGGTGTAGACTGGTTGTACATCAATGCCAATTTTTGAACTGAGATCGCGCATTTGTCTTTTGGCAATGTTCACTGAGATTTGATCTTTGAAAGGAATACTGACTCTTAAAGTTTCAACAGATTTTGTCTTAGTATCTGGTGTAGAGGAATAATCACATTTGTCGATAATAAAGTTCACCAAAGAACTAGGGTAACCAAGGCGATGAAACATAGATTTTAGATGCCTACACTCATCGACGAATGCTTGATGCGTAGAGGACAATTCCTTTGCACGATGAACCATTGTTTTGATAAGACACTTCTTGTAGCGCAAATCGGTGTGACTTTGAAAGTGAAGTAAAAGGCCCGTGTTCGTAGGTTTACGATAGACCTGAGTCTCCAGCTTGTTGCCGTTCTTTGTTATCAACGTTCCAATAAAAGGAATTGAATCGTTGTTGGAAAGTTCCATAGTGAAATGAATACTAGGGTGGAGTCCATTGAGTACATTGAGGAAACTTACAGCTACATCGAGTCCAGGCATTATTGCAAGCGTATCGTCGACATAACGCTTGTAATAAGAAGGAAT